GATACATCGGTAGGCCACCGCGAATTATTGTATGGGCCAGGTATGCTTTCGATCACCTCCAAACGATGCCTAATGAAGTCGAATGCATGGCGCATCCCCTAGGGATTGATCAACGCCGAGAGCTTTATCCTTTTTTATCTTTGATCAATCAACCTCGTTTCTTACGAAAAGATTGCCTGATTGATATTTTATTACACATGTTTGATCCAGATGCTAAAACGTACTGTATATTTCCAAAAAATGAATAGTGGCTTTTTTCCTTGAGTTGATTGATTTAAAGAATCCAGAGTGGACTTCACATATGTATTGCTTGTTCAGCGCATGACCTTGGATACAGTTTCGTTCTTAACTCACTTCCGCAAACTTAGCCACTTTAGGTAACGTTTGGTGCTGAATCAACTGAATCTACTGGCGAAGAGCTGGAAGCGTACAAGATAGACGATGTTTCAACCAGTGCTGTCATTTTCAATCAGGAGCTCTTCCTGCCCATGCTTTGGCCAACAGTCATTTCTAAAGTCTGGGATTTTTTGTATTTTCTGCAACAGCGTTCTTAATTACTTCAGAATTTCTTGTTTTCGCCATTAAATAACACAACGTTGCTCTCAGATTTTTATTCGGGTGTACGTTTGACTGCAGAGTTTTGTGAATTGGATCAACCCTTTCCTCCTAACGCTTTACCACTTCATCGTGGCTTTGAGATGTTCCTCGGTGTCGGGCTGCGATGTACAGCGGAAGGATTCATCCCCACGGCAAGGTCTCCCATGCTGAGAAGGAGTCTGGGGTTTCCACCAGGAAACCTGGCTAAAAGTAAATTAGTACCAGTATGGCAAATCTCCCTCTGGTCCACAAGGGCGTCGACTGCCTGTGCTGGTGACGACATAAGGCAGACTTTAGCCAGACAGATCTCGAGGCCCAGGGAACCATAATGGCTAGACGGCAAAACTCAGAAGAAACAGAAATCATGCTAGAGCTCGCACAACCAGTGAAAACGGTCCATCCAAGTATCCAAGCAAGGATTAAGCTTTCCACAACGTAGAAATAGTGAATTCATCGTGACGTCGGCAAAAACCGTAAAGAATGAGAAGATTTTAACAGTTTTATTTACTGCTTACTCTTACGAAACGGAGAGCCAGCATGGTGTGGTGGTAAACGCTTTACTTCCCGGAAAGGACAATTGCGCGTTCGTTCACCATCGTAGGCACCTGCGGTCGAGTTTTGCGAAGATCTCAGCATCATTGAAGTTAAAATAAGAAGATTATTTAGCAACTATAGCGAGGTTATTTAGTAACCTATTGTAGGCAGACTTTCCAGATCAATTTCCAGTTGTTCATGACCAAAGGCCGACAACGGCGGTGTCTTGGACAGGTACTTCGAATACACTGTGGAAACAAAACGCTATGCACGATAGTGATATGATAGATGATAGTGATATGACATGAAATCCAACCATTAAAGATGATAATTTTATTAGAAATACAGATAAATGCTGTGCTGGTTGTTTCAAGGCTTCAATTTCAATGAGATCAATATATGAACCCGGCCAGGAAGGATTTTTGCCAACTTTTGGACCATCTTTCTTGAACTTTTTCGGCTTTGAGAAGTTAAAACGACTGAAATGGTTCAAGGAAAAGGAGAAAGACATGATAAAGGAAGATGAAGGCAGCAAGTATGTCTCAATAAACGTTAGCGTTTTTAACGATTATTGATTGTATTGATCATATTGATTTTTCCAATTTGCTAACTAGAAAATTTCGATGCAAGGCAATAATAAGTGGCTCTTCTGATTGGTTGAATTAGGGTGAAAAAGTCGGCATTGATGTGTTTTTCTTACTAGTTTGCGTTTTTGTCATCTGCTCGACGAAATGCTTGTGTTGTGAAGGTATCTGGCACGACTGCTGGTGTCGGTGGACTGCACGGACTACGTCGACGAATCTGTCCAGCGGACGTTCATCGACCACAGCTCCCTGCTTCATTCAAAAAATTTCGAGGTAATGTGAACTCTAAGGCATATTTCAGCCATTTTTCAGATAATCTCTATAGTAAATCGGTGGGGGAAGTGGATAGGTCACAAATCATGTGAACAACACTTTCTCGGCTACTCGTGAGAGGGCACATACGAATTCTAAGCTACAGAATGATTTCCGCTTTTATGCCTGAATATATCAAGCAAAATCCCTATAAAGAAAGTTTCTGTTATAGCTTCTGTAGCATACAAAACTAGCTGAGAGACATGCGAAACGAAGGACCCGCATGGTGTGGTGGTGAACGCGTTAGCCCCCGAAAGGATAATAGTGTGTTCGTTCCCCACCGAAGGCACTTGCAGTCCGGAGTTTTGCAAATATCTCAGCATCATTACTGTTGTATTTCGATATACTCCAGCACTTTTTTAAACCGTTCATTGCATAGTTAGTGCGTGCGATTCAGAACATTATTTTACTTCAGAAGGTGCATCGTTACAACGTCTATTGCTCGTTTTTCGCGTGTAATCTGATAAATCCGCTTTTCGCCAGTGATGAAATAACATTTATGGTCTCGATGGGAGAATACGGCAGCACTGGAACCAATGCCAGTCACAATCGCAGCTCCGTGCTTGGGGTACGGTTGGCCCTCTGGGCCCGACAATTAAGGAACTGAGACGTCGAGTTCATTGCCCTAAGTTCACATTCCTCACTACGTTCCAACTTTTACTTTTCTTTTCGATAATTTTGAAAGGATTTCGATTACTTTATTTAGAAAAAAATTCCAGGTTCTTCCTGATCATGATGACACGAAATATTTTTCTATGCCATGGGGAAACCATAAGCCGATGGCCGACGTTCCTGGTCTCTGGGAACATGTCGACGCACGTATGGAAAGAAGCAATGCGATCAAGAAGGTATATTTGGTCATTTTCTCACGCCTTCAATGTGCTATGGGACACATTTCTGATCATATGGATGAAAAGGGTATTGGGATGTTCGTTTCGGTCACCACTGCGATATGTAGTTCTCCAAAGGCAAATAAATTTTCATCGGTAGAAATCCGGAACTCTTGTTGAGGTGGTATTTATTCAATGGATAGGTAGCAATAATGCTGGACGAATTGTTGAAAGTGGCGAAGCGACTTGGCGACAGCAAAAATGACCACGTGGCGTCGTTGGCGATGGAAGCTCTCGAGCATATGCAGTGCATGCTCGACAGATTGCACGAACACCATCGGTAAGAACACAACTTTCATACAATTTGGGACCTATTTCTGAATTATCTGAGTTCCCAAGGTCCAAACTGCAATTGTTGGCGGGATCTTCACTAGAGTGATTTGCACCTTAGTTACCATATATCTCAAAATTCGCGGCGTAAAGATATTCAATTTTGGGAAGTATTTCACTAGAAATTTACCTTCTTTTGTTGAAAGAGCAAATATTTTCATTATTTTTGTATTTATTATTGTATTTCCTTAGAATCCGAAAGTAGAAAATCTGAGAAAGTCCTGGATTTTAAGTCTACTTTAATAAATTTTGCTGCATGCTTTCGTAGAGATTTTCATTGGACCACTTCTTAGGACGGATTTCTTTACCACTGAGTTAGACAGCTGCTCTCAGAGAACAAGGAAAATGACTATAGAAAAAGTAAGCGACAACTTCTTTCTTTCGTTAGAATTAACAGAAATCGTATTTGAAGTAGAGGGCGAGTGTGGCGCAGTGGTCGGAGGCGCCCTGCAATACACACATGGAATCGATCCCCACGCATATGGCCCACCAAGCCTTCCACCTCTCTGCGGTCGGCAAATTGGTACCACACTTGTCTCAGAGGATAGCAGCACTGGCTCGACACATCGGAGGCCACCGCTAATCATTGTAAAGGCCAGATATGCATTCAATCACTTCGAAACGATGCTTAATGAAGTCGAATGCATGGCGCATCCCTCAGGGATTTATCAACGGCGAGAGCTTTATCCTTTTATCCTTTTATGTTTGAAGTGATCTATACTTTTAAGCAGGCCAATAGTTGGAAGACATTTAAGATCCTGAAGGAAATCGACGGATTTAAATTCGATGAATCACAAAGATTTGATGAAATGGGCGAAAAAATTATACGATTTCTTCAAAGAATGAAGGAAAATGTGCTAAAATTAGCAACAGATTGTCAGGTAGGAGGTCCTTTATGTGCGACAGCACGAGCCTAATGATTTCTTTTCCACTAATGGTTTACTTCTGTCATTTACCCTTACTAAACGATAGTAAAACGAAGATCTCCTCATGGTGGAATATGACTGAGGGAACGAGGACATTCGTTCCGCTACACTCGTTGAAGTAGTCGTTTCAGATTTCATTGCCTGATATTATCATTAAGATGTTGGCGGCTAACAAGGTGGTCGGCTATATCAAAGTTCCCGCAAGAAAGGTAAGTATCGGAGGGTATGGTAAAAATGAGTCGCGGGATCTTTCATAGAAGCTCTGTCGTATACCTTTCAGTCTGGCACAATACCCACCAGAGTTCATAGCACAGGAATAATAAATAGGCAAGGGACTCGTGAGAATCTTCTACCGTACCACTTCAAATAAAATTGCTTAAATGTTAAGGTCTCGCATAGCACAGTGGTTAGAAGTGCCCTGCAATACACACTCTGGTCTTTGCTTCGATCACTCGCCTAGGATTCAGGAGTCCCTGTGAGCCGGCAATGTTGTAAAACATTTGTATGGGAGGACAGAAACCATGACTTGGTTACATCAATAAGTTATTTTTGGGTTAGATATGCATTTAATCATCTATATTTAATGCTGGCTGAAGTCAAATGTCTGAAATATTTTTTGTGGATTGATCAGCGCCAAACGCTATATCCTCTATCTTTTATTGATAGTATATGGATAATTGGATGGCTCGTCCTCACTGGTTGTGCGGGCTCCAGCATAATCTCCACTTTTCGGAGATTTGCTGGTTTAGCCATTGCGGTTTCCTGGAATCCCAAAGTCAGTCTGTCCAAGGTTTACTCCAGATCGTCAGCATTAAAGGCATTCGCAGCTCTTGTGGATCAAAGGGAGATTTGCCACCATGCGACTAGTTTGATACCAGGACGGTGGTGGATCCTGGCATTGGTTTACTCTTAGCTGGGCTTCTTGATGGAAGCGCCGGATTCTTTTTCACCTTGGGAGACCCTGCCAGGCGATGAATCCCCGCTGTACGTCGCAGCCGGACACCTAGGAACACCACCCAGCCACGATGAGGCGGTAAACCGTTGGGAGGTTTATTGGTAATAGTATTGAATAGTAGTCGAATTCGTCGAATATAATTGCATTCACTATAAAATGCAGTAATTTGCTTTCTGCTTTGTTATTTCGTTTTTCAACGGCAGTGGATGCAGTCCAACTTGGATTACCATCGTATCTTATCGGCATCCTGATGACCATCCAAACGACAATTTTGAGCCGTTGTCAGAGATTTAATAAAAAACATATGCCTACTCCGATAGTAGAAAGCGTTAAGGGGAGTGGGAGTGATGAAAATGCGAGAGAAAGGGAAGTGGGAATGAAGGGAATGGAAAGAGCTAGCATTCTGTTAGTCGTGCAGATAGAGCGATTGATCCTCTAGCGACTAGTTTTACAAGCCAGGTGTGCATACCTCACCAGTAGAGAGTACAGGAGGAAGTGAGCAGAGTTGGTTTCAGATTTTTTTCTCAGAAAACGAAGCTCTTAGCGGAGAATGGTGTGGGCAGATGCAAGCGCTGACTATGGCGTGGCCGACAGCGGCCGATCGTAAAAGTCGTCAAGAAAACGTGAGTGCAGCACTTTCGTAGCGTCAATGAAGTTCATGAACTCGCTTTTCAACAGCGTTAACGTTAGGATACAACGAAGGTAGAAATTAAATAAAGCCAGTGTAATAAAGAATTACTGGAGTGATTCCAATTGACTGAGCATACGGATCAACACTATGGGCAACAGAGAGGCAAGCGAAACGAAAGAGCAGCATGGTGTGGTGGTAAACGAGTTAACCCCGGAAAGAGTAATAGCGTGTTCATTTCCCACCGCAGACACTTGCGCTCCGGAGTTTTGCAAATATCTCAGCTTCATTGAAGTTATATTTCGTAATATACCCTGCCATTAAAAAGAATGGCAGTAAGTAATAAGTCAAAATTGTGACTGTGCACGGCCGTTATTCATTCGCAGTACAAATGCTGTGATGCATCTCTTGATAATGTCAAAGCAAAGAACGATAACGGCATCTGATCTTCCAGTTCCCCGCTGTCGTGCATGCGCGAATGTGGTTCGGTAAACGTGGTTTCGAATGGTCGTGGAAAGAAGCCATAATGCCAGCAGAAATCAAGACGTACTTTGAGATATTCAGCTACCAGGTGGGTCCTTACAGCAATTTAGGAACGATGACTTTTTATTTACTGCTTCTTAGTAGTTCTCACGGTAGGATATTATTTGTGAAACAACTACAATGGTGCTGAGATATTTGCAAAACTACGGACCGCAGGAATCTGCGCTAGGGAACGAACGCGCTATTAGTCTCAGCTTAATTGGGTTCGGTGCCGATTTAGCCTCACCAGATGAATCCTTGCTAATGGCAGTGATCGATAGAACTAGTTAAGAGACAAGCGAAACAAAGGACCCGCATGATGTGGTGATGAACGAGTTAGTCCCCGGAAAGGACAATAGCGCGTTCCTTCCTCACCGCAGACAGCTGCTGTCCAGGATTTTGCAAATATCTCAGCATCATTGTGGTTAATTTAGAAATGCGTATCATCTGTATCACCTGTAGTCCGGTTGATCGTCGAATGACTCGAACGGGTGCCAGCAAATCTTCCATTCTTCCCCGTCGCGTGCAAAAGTAGTCCAGTGGGTTCTGCTTGCTCTTGGAACTCGTTGGGCATCATATCCTTGTTCTAGTCTTTTCGTGAAGAACTAGGACCATCGGGTCAGTGGTCTTCCTGCAATACGTTTGACATCGCGAGGAATCCAGTTACTAACGGCTCTTGTCCATCGGTGGTCGTTCATACGCATTACGTGTCAATCCCACGTAACACCCACACTAACAAATCACCAGTTTCTTTACAATGAACAACATTCATGCATCTGCTGGCAAAGTGCTTAGTAAACTACCGACCATGGAAATCATGGCTGTTGATTGATGAGGACCTTGTCATGCTCATCACATGTGTGCAGCCGAAGACTATAAACTGCCTAGCAGTTTTGTTAGGAAGATATATTGAGCAAAACCTATAACTGCCTTACCCATCCTATATAGTACTACTTTATTTTAAAATACTGCTTTTGTTAGTGGTTTTTCACAAAGGTTACTATATTACTTCGATGAGGACGAATATTCTGTTTTAGCGGAAAGGCAAGCTGAACTCGACTTGGAAGGAATCGACACGATATCAAAACGAAAGGGAAACTGAAGATCTCTCTCAGTACACCTCAACGAGTCCTTTTGGATGGAACTACATAGTGAGATAGCAGAGGACTGTTACAAACCGTGGATATGCAACTTTTAAATATTAACATGAACTTTTTATTCTTACTAGAAGTAAACACCAGGCAACTTATCCACCTATATCCAATGGCTTCTATTAGAAGTGCCGTGACACTCTGTCCTTAATCATCGGACGCGCTTCGGCAGCATGGAACCCGAAAGTACAGCATGCTTTCCGAATTGGAAAGTAGTTCGGTTTTAGATGAAACGAGTGATAAAATGAACACCATAAAGTGACCTTCAAAGTTGAGTGACATGCTGTCTGCCGATCATGAGTAATTTTTCGCTCTATCATCCATATGCGGGCCTATAATCACTTCAAAGGTCTAGAGAGGAGATTGAACTAGCGTAGCCTAGAGCTAAGGAGGTCCAACCCGCTACAGTGTGCTGGTGAACGGAACTATTCGTCAATCACCACCGTAGCTTTTGTGTTCAGAGCAACTGGGTTGTGAGAAACAGTCATGACATGTGGGTATGTTCGAGCGACGGTCGAGCGACAATCGACGACAAATTGTTCGAAGTGCACGAGTGGCGTGACAAAAAGTAAGTTAGTTATTCCCGCGGTAAAACTAAGTGACTTGTTGGTTGGTAAACATAACACATAACGAACGATGCTGGTGTTGAGCAGTTAAAGCTTGGCAGACCTACTGATCTATAAGTTTTCTCTACTGACCCAGCGCTATGTACTACTTTTATAAATTGTCCACCAAGAAGACTTCGAAAAATTCGTTATTTTTATTCGAAACAATTGGTGCGTATGGCGCAGTGGTAGGAAGCGCTCTGCGACACACCCGTGGATTCGATCGCCGCGCCCATGGCTCACCAAGCCTTCCATCCATCCGGGGTCGGCAAATTGGCACCAGACTTGTCTGGGAGAATAGCAGCACTGGCTCGATACATCGGTAGGCCACTGCGTGCTGCACTGCGAAGGCCAGATATGCATTCAATCACCTTCAACGATACTTAATAAAGTCGATTGCATGACCCATCCCTCAGAAATTGATGCCCGCCGAGAGCTTTATTCTTTGGAGCTTTTATTCGTAAACAAGTCCAAACTCATAGAATTTCCAATGCGAGCACGGCAACTGTAAACAATAACGATGCATTGGAGGACGCCATCGCGTTCTGTTCTTCGAAATGTCGGCTGTTCAATCTTTTGGCGTTCGAAGTACGAGCTTTGGCAACAAAAAGTGGAAAACGACAGCTTTATCTTGTTGCTAAAAAGTTGAAACGGCTCACATCCCAATTAACAAAGTTCACTATATACAACAAGCTAGTTTGAAGCCGAAACTACTCTTTATTACAGGTAACCGGTGTAGGTGTAAGATGTGTCTGTAGGATGAATGAATGGCTGTGGAATGTTTGGGTGTTCGCAAAGGGCACAAAAAAGAACATAGAGTGTAGATAGAACTTTAAAAATCACAGAAATGACGAAAAAATGGGAAAGCCATAACCGTAGACCGGCACACACGAAGAGTGGAGCTGTCATATTTGAGAATCAATGTTGTCGGTTTGCATTGAGTTCAATGCAGATAACGAACGACGAAAACTAAGACGCCTTCCCACGTGTTCGCCACCCAAAATACGACATGGTCTCGAATTTGTAAGCAACGTGGTATAGCTGAAAATATGGGTTTCTGGAAGAACTCTCAATGAAGCCTATAGGTGTTCATAGTGTTTCTCTGGCTAGAGTACAGATAAGAAATAATATGCCTGGAACATACAAGGTCTAGCCAACAGTATAACCCATTTAGCCTAGTTATTGCGGAGATCCTTCTTGCCTACCAATTTATAAGATTCTCTGACTTTGATTCTGTCAATCTATTTGGGCTATATCAGAGATCTTATCTACTTTTTGATGTACACATACTTTAGTTACTTATGAACAGGACTAAAATCCCAGACAATCCTTACTGCGAACATTCTTATCCTGCAAAACTTCATCACTGATTGTCTTTTAGAATTGGAAAGCTCAATGACGAATCTTGATCGATTTCATTGACTAAAGGAGATCTTGTTTCCAGATGGCACCAGCTGAAGTTCACCGATTACTTTGGAAGTGAAATTCCAAAGGCAAGATTGCATGATCCTGGTAAAGGTACGACTTTTCCATTATTAACACTTCCCTGCTTACAAATTAAATTGAATTATTTTACTTTTTATCTGCTGACTGCTACAATTTTCCACGGCAGGGTATTATGCGAAATGCAACTACAACGATGCTGAGGTATTTGCGAAACTCCGGACCGCAGGTCTCTGCGGTGGGAGACGAACTTGCTATTACCGTTTCCGGAGACTAACGCGTTCACCATTACACCATGCTGTTCCTTGACTACCCCTATATCTTAAGTTGCATTATTCACTATAACCGCCGTATTTGAGATAGAAATTCTAGGTTGGAAATACGAAGGCAAATGGATGGTCGATACGCATCAAAACTATGGCGACAGAAAAGGCTGGGTGTACGCGATTTCGGACGTGTTCTGGGGAGAACCCGGAACTGTCGACAACGAAAGACGGTAACGACGTAGTTGGGAATATATCTGACTATTCTTCTTCTGGTTTTTTATCATTTACTACTAAATGTTTTGGTTTCAAAATACCTGAAAAACACATGGGTAACTTCATCGATTCGCTTTAAATGCCCTTAAATTCTTTGTAAGCAATGAGAAAGCAACGTTCTCAATGAAAAGCCAATCGAATAGCTTGGTAGGACTAGGCGAAAGCGTTTCACTTCAAAGGGTGATATTTGATGAAGTACAGTATGCGGCGTCATGATATCGATTCGACCAATTTGCAAATTAACATGGGTTTAAGTTGTTGAAGGAACGACGTAAAGAAAGCTTTTTTCATTCTTCTTCACAATCACTTTACAACGTGAAATGCTTCGAGCTTTTAATTGAAGTAGTTAATCTGAGGAATTTTGGATTAGGTTACGTTCACCTTTCGCTCTAAAATACTAAGGTTTACTACAGTGAGACCTATTATCGATTTCAGAGCAGATCATCGCTTTCGACGGCGATGCATAAAGCGAACACGAAAGGCTGTGAATTTCCAGAATGAGAACTTTGAAACTTATCAGCAATCACTTGGTGACACTAAATGGGAGGTACGGTGACTACGTTGAAGATCATTCACGTCATATAAGCATTCACTTCCATACATTTTCCTCTTATTACTTGAATAGTTGTCCTCACTGGTTATGCGGGCCCCAGCATATTCTCCATTTTTCGGAGAACTGAGGGTTTAGCCATTGTGTTTCTCTGGAGTGGCGAGGACAGCCTGGCTAATGTCTGCCCAGGTCGTAACCACTACAGGAAGTCGCCGCCCTTATGGATCAGAAGGAAATTTTGCCCTTTTGCGATTAGTTATGTACCAGGACGGTGGTGGATCTTGGTATTGTACTCTTAGTTGGTCTTCCTGATGGAAACGCTATACTCCTCAGTATAGGAGACCTTGCCGGGAGGATGAATCCTCCCACTATACATTGCAGCCCGACGCCCAGGAACACATCCCAGTCATTATGAGGCGGTAAACTGTTGGGAGGCTTACGCTTTTTTCCATTAGAAAAACTTTCTTCATAGTCATTGGTTTTAAGCCTTTTGTTCGCGTGAGTAAATTTGGAGAAATATCATCTTGTGTGAAATACTTGAGAAAAAGTACACAGCAGTGGTACAAGCCTTAGATTTCAGTATGCTACAGGAAAAAACAAGCCATTTCACTACCAGGAAATGAGTGAAGATTATATTCGACGAAGGAGATTCGTCATGGAGATGGAAAGAAAGACGTGAGGTTTTGAACTGTGGGAGGTACTTCTGTACTGACGAAAATGAATGACATGACGCAGAAGCTTAAAGAGTTGAAATCAGGGAAACCACAACATTTGAGTGTTTAAAAATCCATTCAGTGCTTTTCATGTAAAAACAAGATCAATTACGGTGACCTTAGTGGAACCATAGTGAGACTTTTCCCCATTCTTAAGCAATTTTTCACCAATTCCCTGATAACGAAGGCATAAATTTTACACCAGACGCTGGATCGTGTTTGTGTGCATTTTTTGCTGACTACGCTTACCGCTCCTATGTGTTCTTCCTGTTTCTTTCCTTCTTTTCGCTATTTTTTCCCTATTTCTCTCATGAATTTTATCATTTTCCTCCTCTTCATTCTTTTTTCACTTTTTTCGGCTTTACCGAACGCATCTGCTTGACCATTGCCGCAGATATTGAAGAGTGATTATTACTGAAGTCACAAATCTTCTTAATTAAGTGATTTGCCTCGAGAACAGGAACACCAGATGTACTTCGTTGCGCGTCTTTATGAAGTGCATGAAGTGACCTCTACATGGCAATTGCGTTGTTACTTTCTCTGGGCCAAGGTTTGCCTCCAGTTCACCTTCTTGACGTGCTATTCTTAGTAGCATTTTAGGACCTACTTCCAGTGGTAAAGAATTCGGCAAGAGGTTTTCTTCGTGTGAACTTTCTTACTAAGTCAAAAGAAACCCTAGTTGTTGACAACTCATTAAACCCTGTCTGGAACGAGACGATAATTTTTGATAAGGTGAGTGCTTCAAGGAGCACCTAATGAATACGTTACTTTAGAGAACAATTCCTGTCCTGCAAGTCAACCATTTTTGGTACCTTTGGTCATTATTACTGACATATTTAAAAAATTGGTTGTTACAGATACGAGCTTCTTCTTTTTGGTTAAAATAAACTGGATCGTCGTTTAGTTTCTCTTTGTACTATTTGTGTTCGCACTCGCGTGTGGCGCAGTGGTCGGAGGCGCCCTGCAACACACACGTAGAATCGATCTCCGCGTCCATGGTCCACCAAGCCTTCCATCCCGCCGGGGTCGGCAAATTGGTAGCAGACTTGTTTGGAAGGATAGCAGCACTGGTTCGATACATCGGTAGGCCACTGCTAGTCATTGTAAAGGCCAGATATGCATTCCATCATCTCCAAATGATGCTTAATGAAGTCGAATGCATGGCGCATCTTTCAGAGATTGATCAATGCCAAGAGCTTTATCCTTTATTTTATCCTTACTATTTGTTTCGGCTTTGCCAATCAATGTTACATTAATACTAGGTTATTTCGAAAGTAATAGCGGTTTTAGCGAACCATCGCGTAACTCGGCCACTATAAAAGCATCGTTAATTTCAACATGTCTCCATAAAGGTGACGCGGATTCACGAATTCCATAATTACTGAAAGACATTGATCTAGATCATCAAATATATGATGATGATTTGAAACAATGCTCGGGCACAACGGAGAGAGAGATTTATACACTGAGCTTCAGTCCACTTAGCTTCTGGATGTCGACCCCCAGGACATGAAGACGTGCATTGTCGTGCAGTTAGCAAAGTGGTGTTATGGTACGCAAGCGCTATAGGAATTAACCTCATTTTGTGTGAATTTTCAGTATGGTGTTTCAGCCTTTCTCTGATATGATAGCAACAGCTGAAAAGGGAGGCGAAACTGGTTTAAACCTGTTGCCGTCCAACGGGAAGTCATCACTGCCTTTGCGATGTATTTTAGGACTAGGAACGTTCTCTGAAGGCTTATTTGCTATCACCCATTGAGCAAGCCGTTTGCTATTGTTCCAAAGAAACCGTTTTACATCATGCACACTACAATTCGATAAAGGAGTGGGTAAAGACGGCTGTTTGTAAGGAACAAATTGACAGTGTCCTGTCGCTTCAGCGTTCTGATGTTCATTGGTCATAAGAGACTTATTTGTCCAACTTCTTCACTTCTTGCATCTTAATGTGTTGAAGTGTTCAATTAATGTGGATTTAGAAAAAATCAACTTTGAAGCTCTCAGTTTTCTTTTCTGGCTGGCTCTCATATGCGACTATTTGCTGGACGAACGAAGCAAAGTGCTTCGAAAACCGACGTCTTCCCTAGTCCATAGAAGAGCTATCTAATAACTGAAAACTTCGTGGGAACATCTACAGAAGTTTTCAGCTTGTTGGGGACATAATTATTATAAAAAAGGGATAAAGGTCTCGGCGTTGATCAATAACTTAGGATTGCGCCATGCATTTGACTTCATTAGGCATCGTTTGGAGGTGATCGAAAGCATACCTGGCCCATACAATAATTCGCGGTGGCCTACCGATGTATCGAACCAGTGCTGCTATACTCCCAGACAAGTCTGGTACCAATTTGCCGTTCCCGGAGGGATGGAAGGCTCGGTGGGCCATGGGCGCGTGGATCGATTCCACGTGTGTGTTGCAGTGCGCCTCCGACCACCACACCACATGCGACGACTGATCAAGGATATGAGTCCTATTTTGAATGACAAAAGTGCTTCTTCTGCTCATAGAAACACGTTCAAGAGCGGACGATATGAGAGAAAGGTTGAATAGAAACCTGTGCTATGATATAGACGCTCCTGACATACACTGGTTTTATCTAGATATGTGAGAAGCCTTAAAAATAATTCAGAGGAGACAAAAAGGCTGATGGCAAAGAAGTGGACTGCTCCTACGTAAGGGAAGTGCTCAACGATTTTCTCAGTCATTCTATGAATAGAAATGCAGTGAAATTTCAAACATACCCTAATAACAAACTTGAGCGGCTTCTCATTATTTTTAGCAGTACATTTAGCCACTTCTTCGTGGATCTCACCAGCAAGTTGGTGAAGTCGGAATAGTCTCACCTAAACACTCGTACAAAGAATTCTATCATTTTAGCGTCATTTTTAGGAAAGGACGGATTTAATGCGTAAAGTCTCGTACAATTTCGGATACCAGATGTAACATCGGATACTTTCGTAACATTTTATCTACTCCCTGACACAATTTTTCACAGCCGGGCACTATGTGTGATACAACCGCAATGATGCTGAGATATTTGCTTTGCAAAAACTCCGGACTGTAGGTGTCTGCGGTGGGAAACGAACGCGCTATTACTCTCTCCGAGGGCTAACGCGTCTTCACACCATGCGGGTCTTTAGTCTCGCCTGTATCTCAGCAGTTCTATCGATCAAAAAATCCCTACATTCTTCTTGAGTAAACACGAACTTTGGTTGAGGTAAAGTGCCCTTTCCAGGCCCTGAGGAAGGCCAAATCAGCCGGAACGTCAGCTTGCTAGTGAATAAAGAATAGATAACCCCTCGTGTTTAATCACTAAGAATATAAGAATAGATGAAGAACAAGGTTAGTAAAAAATCAGTAGTGGAAATTTCAAAGTATATGCTCTGTCATTTTTGCCAATGTGAAACAAAACACATGCATATCACTGTGATTAGCAGCAACAGGAATTCGATTCTATTGAGCCTGTGTTGTTGCTGATGTACTCTTTGGAAGGACTTGGACTGTCCAGTAGTCATAAATACTAATGAGACGGCTCTTAAATTCTGCTCACCCTTAAAGACATCTCTTCCAGCTGAGCACCACTCCAGATCTCTTCACTATCGAGATCATCGTTCATCCTTGCTGGACTCTCAGTAATACTGTAAACGTTGATGGACACCTAAGACAATATAAATTGAATATCTTCCATCTAAGCGTATAAGCACCAAAAAAGCAATGGTACGCATTTTTTGGTTTTAGTATTATTTATATAAAACGTACTAATACGTAGCTCTAACCTTGAGAAAGCCGCAGTTCTCGTAAACACCGTCGTCGTCTTCCTCGTCGGTCGGTACTCTTAGCGCGATCCATTTCGAGACCACAACTCGCCCAGGCGAATGAATGACATTTCCTATTTGGCACATGAATTCGCCCGTGACTTTTTCGGAAAAACGTTTCGCTCGGGTCACCTGAAAAAATCTGGTAAACGTGTGTTAAAGCAACAATTCAACAGATAATGAAGATTGGTGAAGTAGTGGCACACAAATTTTTCTTGCACGTATAGACAAGCTTGCGCAGAAAGTTCTATAACAGGCATCAGCAAAACGCTCTTAGGGATTCGTGGAGCTCAGTGCCTAAGAACGTCTTGAAGTGCACATAGCATCGGACGTTGGTTCGATTTCGCACTCCATGCAAATCAAGCCCTCTATCCGTCCGCAGTCGGCAAAATGGCACCAAACCTGTATCAGTGCACAAAGACATTGACCTATGACATCGGCAGACCTCCGCAAATCACTGCATAAATCAAAGATGCGTTCAGTCACCACTAAATGCCTAGAGATATCGAATGCATGATCCACTGCAAGGCACTGATCAACGCCAGATGCTTCTATCACTTTTATTACATTCTTAGTAGAGGAGCACGTGTAGTACAGTGGTCGAAGGCGCCCTACAATACACATGGGATCAACCCCGGCGCCCCAGGCTTACCAAGCCCTCCATCCCTCCGGGTCCGCAAATCGCTATCAAACATGTTTGGGAGGATAGCAGCACTCGCTCGATGCATCGGTAGGTCACTGCGAGTCATTGTATAGGCCAGATATGCATTCAATCACCTCCAACGATGCTTAATCAAGTCAAATGCATGGCACATTCCTCAAGGATTGGTCAACACCGAGAGCCTTGTCCTTTTATTTATTACATTCTTCAATATTGTCACACACAGACTGCGTGATTTCAGCACCAATATATAGATAACACTTCGAAATTCTTTTTATAAGGAATGAAATACGGTCACAGTTTCTTTAAATGAAAAGCACCGGAATGAGCATGAATGGACTACAACGTCTCCTGGTAGAACGAGGCATTTTTGACGAACGACGTCGAGCGAAGCCGCAGTGAAAGAGGTGTTGTCTTTGGCGTCCTTTTCAGTGCAATGTCAATCAATGAATAGTTTAATATTGCTCAAGCAATACTCACTAGCGTAATGAGTGTCTTACTATATCTTTTTTATTTTTCTTTATTTCATACAACCCGTTTTCACGTTTACTGCGCGGATCACAGCATTTCTCATATTCGATTCGTTTCCTCGCATCTATCATCCGCTAAACTCTGCCAACTTTTACGTGTAGCTCCCGCTGCTGCTTGAGGATTTTTCATTTTATTTTCACTGTCTGGAGCGTTCCCAATTGGATTACAAGCAATGATTTCTTCCCTGAAAAGTCCTGTACCAATTACCTGACCCCGGTGGGATGAGATTGTTGGTAACTCCAGGGTGGGATCGAACCACTACCGCTGTCGTGATGACCGCCACCACTACCACTATGCTATCCTCCCCCTTTTCCAGGATACGTTTTTATTTGTCTTTCTTCATATGTTCGTACGATGGTGTTCCCGAAATCCTCGAAAAATTAGGAAGGCAACACCATTTGGAAAAGAATACGAATAAGAAATGGAAAGTGCGGAAGCTTTAGGGATCACAACTGTCTTAGCCACACATACTCGACACTACTGCAGAAAAGGTTTGTCGAAAACACTAGAATGGGCTAGTCTTATCCGATCTCTTTAAGTCCATGGATAATACTTACCTTAATTGCTAGAGTGTCAGAGGCAAGTTTCTGCAAACTGATGTCTTTAAGCATAAACACCAGGTTCTGCTTCCATACAGGATTTCTTTGTGAGCTGACTCGAGTGCATTTCTGCAATCCGTTCAGAGAAGCACGCACTCGTAGAGCACCTGTCTTCAAGTCTCTGCCTTCGATTACCCGAAGTAGAACCTAGAATCATCCATCTAGTTTTGATTCTCAACAGCTCAGCTGAAGATGGATAAAAGATGAAATTTTCGCTTCTTTTTCGATAAAAGATGCCATGCATTCAGCTCCATTAAGCATCGCAGTGGTGACTGAATACATTCTTAGCCAATACATGACCTAAAGACGCCTGCTGATGGAACAGCTCAGTGTTTTTATCTTCCTAGATAAGTCTGGTACCAATTTACTAACCCAGGGACAGCAGAAGGTCTGTACGGCAGCAATGTCGAACAAACGATTTCGCGTGAATCGCAGGACTCCCTAACCACTGCGCTATGATTGCCACAGCTCAATATGTTCAAGTACTCAAGTGCGTTTATTTTAAATGAAATGCGAAGGAAGGAAATTTTCGCCTTAATGAAGAAGAGTTCGGATTTTGTGCAGCCGGGATCAGTGCATGTACTAGTTTACATGCAGTATAGTTACACGGTAGGTGTATCGCATATTCTAACATTGACAGCTGAGTAACTCGAACGAACACCAGCAAAGTCCTTATTCATGCTTGTCCTTTGCCACGCTTACCCCATGGGTGCCGGGATCCTATTGGAACCATATTTTTCCTCCAAGATCTTCAAGCGAAGGGGAGATAGCGCACTGGTAAGCGATGCAGTCCATCAGGGAGGAGGCTGGTGGTCTGGGCTCTCCCCAATCCACACTCCATACCGCCTTAGCCTGACTATTTCCAAGACCGCAAGGGGAATCGCTTCGGCCAACACTCCACGATATTAATAAAGAAGACGAAATCTTCAAGAAGAGCCGAAACGACGCGAGAAATTCTCGAAAACCACAATGATGCCGAGGGAAGAGCTGGTAGAATAACACATAGGACCACAGAAAGGGCAGACGCTGGTTCGAGAATAGGCTGGGGTACAAGTTTTATTCATATCTCAGCATGGCTGTAGTTCTATTTCACACAATACCCTGTCATGGAAAAAATGATAGACAGCAAATAAAAGTCAAATATTGCGTTTGAGCAACTTTGTAGACAATGAATACGACGAAAGCGAACCGAATGCATGAAGTGTTGGGACCCACACAGCAGATGTGACGACGGATCGTATAAAAAAAGGTTTTCGAAGAAGTATAGGCATCGTTTGTTATGTAGTGTGTGTTTGAGTGTAGTGTTGAATTCGATCTCTGCTAACTTTTTCGCAGAAGTCATTGAGGCCCATTACCACTTTCCCCATCAGCGTGATACAGGATGCTCCGAGCAGCCCCTCCGATGAAGCTCATTTCAGTTGTCCAGTACCGAGTTTCATTAAATCTCTGCATGTATAATCAAAGCCTTGATTCATTGACACGGTCATAAGATGCTGTTTAAAGAGTCACTATGATTCGATTCCAGCATCCATAACATTCCTTTCGTCTTTGGTATTGTCCTTTGTAGCCATGGCATTGAGTCTAATCAGTAGAGCGGTGCACACACGGCGCGGATGCAACGATTACTCCGTCTGGACCCTTAAGACACTACTTCAGCCTCGCACGTAGCAAATACGGTTACGGCCACTCATCTCTTCCTCTGCAGGTATAGGCGGCATTGTTTTTCTTTCGGCCGCAATTCACAATTCTCCAGACCTTTTAGGCATAATTTTTATTTGAAATCGTCTATAAACACCCAGTAGAAGCTACGGCTTTAATCTATAGGACTTGTTGAAACCACTAGAATACCATGACCTCATCTTCGTCATAGCTTGGTTCTGGAAAATAGCATAAAGTCGATCAAATCCTTCATTAATTGACGATGTAAACATCTGATTCGACTCGTTAGTTATTAAAAAAAAACATGAGTTAGGTTACGTTGACAAGAACACCAAAGCAGCCAACTTATTTGCAATTGTACGTTCCGAGAAGCGATTTTTCAACTCTATCTTTATCATCTTTAAGTGTGTATGGTGTTCTATTAGTGGGAAACGAATGTGTGTTTCAAGAATAAAGGCTTCGGGAAAGCTGACTCCAAGAATAAGCTTTTTGTTTCCACTGTTTTCAGCGCGAAATACCTCAAGTATCACTTTGTATCCGCCACCTGGAAGGAACACACGTCATGTAGCCTTGCGCTGAGCCGCTTGGAGATCATTTGGTGAGGGATATCTCCGAAAGTTTCGTGTTATTCCATACTTCAATATTGTAACTTAGAAACAGAAGGGTCTAGAAAACCTCTCTGGAGATTTTTTTATTGACCATAATCCTGTAAGCATTAGACTTATTCCGAATATATCACAGTACCCTACGCTTCAATTTACGCTATGAAACTAAGGGAGATGTAGCGCAGCTCCACCTCAGGTTGACGATGAGTGTAGGAGCACAGAAATTCTTAGAACTAAGCTTAATTAGAAAGCCAAACTCCCTCATGGAGTCATTGGAATTGCTGAGATTACGGTTCAGTCGGTATGCCAACGAGCATAGCGATGTGTAGGGAACGATCAAGTTCGCTGTTGCTGATTCTTTCCAGATACCAAACGTCGAAACTGAAGCATGAATCGTTTTTTATCTCTAATGCATAGAGTTAAAAACATCATATCTAGTGCAGGAGTTCGAAATGCGCTTCACACGTGGTCATTGGTGCAATTCCACGTCCTGGGTGAACTGGGCACAGAATCCGTCTGATGTCGACAAACTAGTATAAAACTAGTTTGGTGACCTACTTACTCGGGTATTTGGAAGGCTCATCTTCACGAGTTGTGAGGACCTCAGCACATTTTCTGTTCGTTTCTTTGCCTCGCAATCGTCATCTATGGTTGTGGTTTGATTTCAACATAGTGGAGCATGCGAGTCTAATACCGTGATGTGTATTACAACTAAAGCTGTGAGTACAGCTGTTTGACTTTAGTTAGGAAGACGTTCGTGCAGCGTGAAAGTGGTCTTAGAGGACGTCTAAATCTTGTAGTCCACCTTACAGTGTTTACCGTTCCCCTGTCGTCTGTTCTTCTCTTTATATAATTGGCGCATCTACGCTTCACCATCGATGTACGGTCTCCTAGGTCTAGTTTGTGAGACTAAGAACGCTAAGTATCGGTAAGTCTCTGCAAACCACTGTGTAATCCAAACATGCATTCATCCACCTCTATGGTTCTACGACAATGCATGTCGTGTTGTACTTTATCTTACTTACATATTACTTACTTACTTGGGTACATGGATGGACCGTCTTCACTAGTTGTGGGGTCCCCAGCATAACTTCCACTTTTTTCGGATTTTTGTTGGTTTAGATATTGTGATTCCTTGGAGTTCCGAGGTCAGCCTAGCCAAAGTCTGCATCAGGTCGTCACTGCCAGAGGCAGTAACCGCCGTAGTGAATCAGACGGAGATTTGCCACCATGCGACTAGTTTGATACCAAGACGATGGTGGACCCTATTATTGGTTTACTCTTATCTGGTCTTCATGATGGAAGCGCCGAACTCCTCAGCTTCGGAACCCTGCTGTGGAGATGAATCCACCGCAGCTGACAGCCAGGAACACCTCACAGCCACGATGAGGCGATAAACCGTCGAGAGGTTATAATTTATTTTTTAATGTAAAATATAATTCCATTTTTTCTTAGTGTATCGCTTTCGTAATTTCTCCAACGGATCCAGTAATTCATAGTGTTCAAAGACCGTTGCATTTGAAGCGATTTCTATGACAGTTGTTCAACGATCACCCGACACCGCATGTGCATTGATCAATGCCTGCACTCTGAGTATGGCTTAAAACATCCTCGCTAGACTTCGATTTCATATTATGCCACAGATTTCCTATAGAAGAGCGCTTCCTATTCGGTATTGGCCATGAGGAGCTCGTTGATAGTTGGACAACCAGTTATCTGACTGAGTTTTAAGCAGTAAGCAGAAGTTCAACTCATCTACTACAGCTTACTAACTTGTACAGATAAAAGGCCTGAAGGAGGTAGTTCTTGCTTTCTTCATGGTTCAGCTCGAATAAAAAGTCGTAACTTTTATAACATTAGGCAACTTATTTGTATTACTACTGAGGACTTGTCTGAAACGCCAACGTCATTTCCACATTGGCAATGGGATGCATAAAAAAGAAAAAGAAAATAACTCGAAAGACCGACTTTCTATGAACCTTGGCATAGATATTTGATATATTTATTTATGTGATCTTATAAACTGATCTTCTTAAGCTGACGTGAGGTTGGTACAGATCTTCGTTGTCGTTGTCGTTGTTTTTGATGTTATTGATCGATGGCTGACGTTTCGGCGACTTTCGCCTTTCTCAGAGTCTGGACATATTTTATGTTAGAATACTTTTTATTATTCGGTGGAAAAGGAGGTTAAAGTATTAATGAAGATCAAACTTTCAAATAGACGCC